ATCGAATTTTCTAAACTATACTCTAGCAATCTCATGGATATAATGAAAGCTCAAGGATATGGTGAATGCACCACATTCTAAAGTTTCAAAGTTGATGATTCTAATTGAAGGAAGAGAAGAAAGAGTGAGGAGGAAGAAGAAGAAGAGAAAAAGAGAGAGGGAAGAGTGAGAAAGAAGAAGAGATTAGAGATTTGAACATGTGTGTGTCATCCTAAATTTTAACCTCCAAATTTATTTAATTAATTAATCAAGGGTAAAAAGGTGAAATTGAGTGTTAATTATTTTAGTGACAGTTTGTGATGGCTAACGAACCTATTGGTTTTGGATAAAGCTTGAGGGTCAGATCAAAAGGGTTTTAGGCCACCTAGGCCAATATAAAAGAGGAAAAGTTTTGCGCTAGCTCATCTGTGCCATTCACCATAGCGCATGGGGCTTCTCACCACAGTGAACAATTAGATAATTTAAATCTGCAACTCAAAAAAAGAAGGAGATTCAAAGAGAGACAAAGGGAGAAGACTTAGGTTAGCTAGGGCACGTGTCCTTTGGAATTTTCAAGGAGTTTTGAGCTTTATTTTATTTAAGTATGTCTTCCTCTTCCCCTTCCTTTCCTTTATATGTTTAAAAATTAGTTGTTATGTGGGGGGCATATTATTTTTAAACCTCTTGGCAATAGGTCCAAACCCATTAGTTATAATAGGAATAATAAGATTTATTTTACTTATCTAAACCTAGTTTAAGGATTTAACAAGGTTATGAGTTTGGCACTAGGGTTTTGGACAAATCCTAGCCACTTTAAGGGAAAATTTGGATTTTGGGTGTTGAAATTGTTGATATTTAAGCCAATGAGAGTTAAACATGGTTAATGGGATTTAATAAACTTATTGGTTGTAATTTTAAGCTTATGGTTGCAAAAATGATTATTAAAGTATGAGTTTTGGGAATTGGAAGTAAGAATTTAGTTGCTTTCTAATGATATTAGTCTTTCATAATTGTAGATTATTGTTGTTGCTGGAGTTTTGAGCTCAAGCCTAGCTCGAGCAGCAATTTATATTAAGGGTAACCTTTGAATTTCTAAATGTTTGAAGTAATCAAGGAATCTTTAACTTATGTTATTTCCTATTAGATTGATTTAGTTTGTTTTGTGAACATGATTAAAGTGAATTTAATCAATTATAAACTCAATTATTGTTTCAGAAAAATATATGGAAGTGGGGTTTTCTTAATTTTCCATTAAAAACATATTATGTTAAAAGATTTTTATATGAGATGGTAAAGCTTCCCATGCATGCTTGTGATAGTTTGTCTATATTATCTATGCATGCTTGAGTAATGTTATTGTGCATGGATGCCCTAGGAAGAGTTGATTGTTTTTCACATGGATTACATTAATATTATGAGGTCTCAATATTTGGTATATTGCTATACTCTTAAACCCCACCTAACAAAGGTAGTAATAAGTTTTACTCTTAAACTCCAATTAGTAAAGTTGGTAATAGGGTTTTGTAACATGCTTGTATTCAAGATAAGGAAATCTATGGTCTAAGAATGAGAGTAGAGCCTTAGCTAGGTCACTGCTCATGATCAGAGAGTTTAGGCTATTCCAGTCACATGGGTTTAGCTCCTAATTATTGTATAGCCTTTAGATTCAATTAGCAATGATAGAGGTTTGGAGATGTAGTTAATTATGCATTGCATTGTATTATGTTAACATTGATGTTAATTGTTATTTATTCGCCCATTATGCATGCTTATATTAATTTGACTTTCATGTGTGTGATTTAGAGCTTCCCTTGGTTAATAAGTTGTATTCACCCCTATACTTCACATTGTAGGTTCTAGCTCTAAGAAAGTCAAGGGAAGGCACCTAAGGCATATGAATATGAGATTACTACAATATGCCTGTCTCTTTGATATATATGTGTAATTGATGATGATATATTGCCAACTAAGACAATTATTTTGATTTATTGCACCAATACATATTAATTGTGATAGTTGAATGTACTTATTACCCTATCATTGTTATGTGTGCCATAAATGTTAGTCAAGGCCTAAATATTGGTGCAACTAGGTTTAGAACTTATTGATATTACTTTTAATGATTGTAAAGTGATTAAATCATGAATTTATGTCATAGTGACCTCCCTTGTGGTTTTATTGAGATTGGGGTTGAGGAGTTTAGAAGAAATATGTACAATATACTAGTGGTTTGGTGTACTGTATAGATAATTCTAAGGACTTGGCCTGGGTAGATGTTTGGGCTTGTGGCACTTGGTGTAGATTTTGGATTTAAGTGTGAAAAAGGAGTGTTTGGTTCTAGGTGTTCAACTTTTGTTGTGTCATTAACTTGAAATGAAACTAGTGCCACTAGCTAGCTTACCATCTAATTTTTTTAGAAACACCTAGATCACCCTAATCGAACATCAAACGGAGGCTCAGGGTGTGTCAAAAGTTTGCCTCGATGCTGTGGCTTGGCAACACTAATGATGTCATTTTTATGCAATTCACTGCCATGGATAGTGCCTTCGTTGCGTTGCATGACACAAAGGGGATCCCCGTGGTGCATTGTTGCATTGGCCATGATAGATGTCCTTAAGCTTCTTAGCCGCAGTGAGTAAACCTCTTGGCCATGGCGAATGAGTTTGTTTTGGGAAAATTAATTTTTAAATGTCTATTTTTAAAAGGTTTTTAATATTTCAAAGATATTCCATGAACTTTTCAAACTCTAATTTGAAATAATTTGAGCTTAGTCATGTTGATGTTGATATTAAACTTGGGATCCCAAAGATTGTTATGATGGGTTCCAATTCTTTTTGTAAACTCTAACAGTTTTTCAAGTTAAGTTGATATTGTTTATACTATTTTATATTTTTAAAACTTATGAGTTTGATTTTAATTGCTATAGTAGACCTTTCAATTAGGGTCTTTTCTTTTTTAGTATAGTTAGCTTTCCTTAACTGCAAATGATTACTATTTACCATGGTATGGTAACTAAGATGGTTAATTCTTAATTCCCATGGTAAAAGGTGGTTTTGAGAGTACGTCTTGTGATGAAATGAGGAGAGTTTTATAGTGTGCATGGGTAGATTTTAGGAGGTGCAAATAAGTCATTTTACTTAAAAATAAAATTGCAAATGAGGCCTTGGACCCTAAGAACAATTTTAGATTCCATTGGGACTTATCTGCAATTTTGCTGCTTCTAGGAGCCCTAAGTGTGATTCTGTCCTTTTTTTTTTTTTTTAATGGATCAAGTACGAGCACCCACACATGCCTATGTAGTTACCCTTTCACAACAAATCTAGGTTGTGGTTCTTGTATGCAGGATTGGGAACTCCATGCTGGAAAGGAAGAAAGCAGAACACTTTAGATGTTAATATCTTGGTCTTCCTTATGATGAGGCGTGATTGCAGTTTCCTGAACCAAACAAAGAGCGGCTACTCGACCTTCATTTCCGGACTTCCAAAATGGATTTAGGCCGCACAAGAGGACATGCAAATTCCAACTGCAACAATTACTATCTGAAGCAAGATGGAATCCATATTCCAAACCAGTCTGAGCAACTTTTAAAACAATGTTATTTCTGAAGACATCAAGCAACTCCTCTCTCGCTTTACGCTTTACCATTGTCAATACTTTTGTTGTATTCTCTTCCCCTTCTTTTGAGGATACAAATTTTAATTTTTTACGCTTTATATGATAGCTATATGTTTTTCATTCACTCGTCTTTTTGATTTTCCTCCAACTGATGTGCAGTTTGCAATTATGATATAAATATTTGATCTCCTTCAAAAAAAAAAGAAGACACACACACCCACCCTTTTACTATATGTGATGAAGAACCTACAACCTTCTCTTTCAAGGGAGTGTGGGTGCCACAGGGACGGATCTAGAAACTTCTTAAGGAGGTTCAAATGGCAAATAAATTGTGAAGTGGGGGCCAAAATTTATTTTATTTGAGTAAAAATTAAAAATTTACAAGAGATAAGTGAGCAGTGGGGGCAAGCAACCGCCGGGGGCGGGGTCGGTCCCTGGTTGCCACTGAGCACAAGATACTATTGGCAATGCCATGCTTATCTGACAAATTACCAGCTATAGGCATGAATAGGCTAGCTGATGAATTGGCAAATACTGTAGCTCGAAATTCTTTCCTGATGGTTAACTCATTCTGTATCATCAGGAATCCCCCCCTCTTTTTGTATCAAGTTCATTTCTGGGATCTGACCTTTCGGAAATACATTCTCATGGTCATATTGCTGACATTCCAGTTTCCACATGTTACAAATATCTCTAAGTAGTCTCCCTTAACTGAAACTTCTATTACTCACACTTCTACTTTTCCATTTGGACTCGTCCGATTCTCAGGCATCTCAGCAAATTTCTTTTGTCATTATTTCCATATGGTAAAAGGAATATATTAAATATATGAATATAAAAGTAGTATTAAATAAATATAGTATTTGCTTAAAGAGGGCATCTTATTGAATTGTCGTCCTACGTAATTACCAATCCCCAATATATTCCTGATAGAGACGAGGCTTGTTTTTAAACGATGCTGTTCATATTTACTTAGGACCATAATTCAGTAACAGACAAGCTCGTCTCGGATTTTCCAACCTATACGAGGGGCTCTTCAAATTCAGTGTCGTAGATGTAATATGCTTCTTGGTGGAATCGAGTTAGCCAGGCATAACCAATGCCTGTGCTTCGTAGGCCAATACCTATGTGCCATTTTACCATGAGTCCATTTCCATTAGCATTCAATAAAATATGAGGTTCCATCCATGCGTTGAGGCTTTGAGCCGCCAATTATAATATCGCAAATAATCAATTGAAGAAAACCAAGTACCAAACAGATTCAATTTTTAAATACAAACAAAAAATGGGGGCTGCGAGGCCGTGGGGCATTATAAAATTATGGGCACTCCAATCATTACCCTGCAGCAACTCATCAAGTGAGACGATAAACTTGTGAGATATCTCCTATACTAAATTAAACAACGATGTCGAGAACGAGTCAAAACATGCGCAGCTTGAATACTGAAACAGATCAGCCGGAAAGCTCTGGTACCCAGAAGCACTATGCTGGTCGTCTTTGCATTGCAAGACTTGCAGAAAATTACCCTCCTGGTTTTCTTAGGAAGGTAACAGAAGTGGTCTGTGCTCTCTATTGCACAGACCCATCCACATCACAATTATATTATATATATATATATAATCTCTCTGTTCCTCTTAGGCTTAGTTGTACATTTAGCAAAAGCACTGGCTTTTAAGTTGTTTTGGGAACATGATGTTGTGTATGAGTTATGCTGAATCAGGGGTTCATGAGACGATTAACGTTTGGGTTGATGAAGTATATAATAATAAAACAGGTATTGGCAGAGATAATTGGGACATATCTGTTGGTGTTTGTGGCAAGTGGGACGGCTGCACTGAGTGCATTTGACGAGCAGAAAACATCAAGACTAGGAGCTGCGCTTGCAGGAGGATTCATTGTGATGGTGATGATTTATGCCATCGGACACATCTCCGGGGCCCATATAAACCCAGCAGTCTCCTTAGCTTTCGCCGCTCTGGGCCATTTTCCATGGAAACAGGTACTGCTACTCATAATGTATTTTGATACTTTCTAAGCCGCGGTCTCAATATTTTCCAAGGGAGGACATGCCTCGGCCTCGGCCCAATAACCATGCACGGATATAAATCTCTTAGGCTTGTAATGCAGGTTCCGTTTTACGTGGGAGCTCAAATGACAGGAGGCATTTCGGCCTCTCTTACGCTGCGGCTATTATTGCATCCTATAAAAGAGCTTGGAACAACTTCACCTTCTGGAACAGATGCTCAAGCTCTGGTCATGGAAGTCTTGGCTACTTTCACTCTCATGTTCGTGATTTGCGCCGTCACAACTGATGCAAAAGCTGTAAGATGATTCCCAGCACTTATAAACAGATACATGATAGTACTTTACCACCTTCACATAAGCGTATATCTATATAATTAGCAGGTTCGAGAGCTGGCAGGAGTTGCAATAGGCATTTCAGTGTGCATAGCAGGCATCCTTGGAGGGTAAGTACGGTAACAAACTGAAAAAAAATATACGAAATACTTTTAACGAGAACTGAAGCCATTGAAGGTACTTTGTTTTGTTGGTTACTTGCAGACCAATATCAGGGGGATCGATGAACCCAGCAAGAACATTTGGTCCTGCAATAGCAAGTGGATCCTATAAAGGAATTTGGGTCTATCTGGTTGGACCAGTCGTTGGGGCCATTTTAGGGGCATGGTGTTACAGTAATATCAAGGAGAATGATAACTCTGCTACTTCTTCCCCCGTTAAACTACATTCGTTTCTATTCAAGCTACGCTCCATGAATAAGGAAACAGAGAAAGTTGGTGGGAAAGACGATCCACACGTCCTGCGCGCGAACAGTGTTTAAAACTTAGTCACCTGCAACATCCACAATTCCAAGATATTCAGTTCAGGGACTTCCTACTCTCGAACCCTTGTATTATTACTTATCCTCTTAATTCAAACTTCAAAGATACCCTGAAGTGGTATAGGTGCCACTTCATCTCCGGAGGTATGTTACTACATAAAAGGAAAAGGGAAAATGGGGCAAAAAAAAAAAATTAAACACTCTACTTCACCTTCTGCACAATCTTCCTGTTTCATAGGATCTGTTCTACCTATTTGAGACAGTATAGTTTTGTATTAGTTGGCAAAAAAGTGATCTCATTTTCAATGCAAAGTCGGAATTTCTCGTTGGACTTGGAAACGTTACCTTAATTCAAGGGAAATTGGTGAAAAGTAAATTTGGCATCTTTTAATTTAAAAAAAAAATGGCGCATCTTTGAATACAAAAAGAACTACTTCCCTCACGTTATTATTATTATTATTTTTTTTGGCTGATATTCGTTTTCTTTCCAGCCTCTTGAACTTAAAAATGGTGTCAAAAGTTTTACTGATCTTAAATAAACTTAGTAGGAGCAAGAACCAACTACTAAATTTTACACTTGTCCAGAAAATACTTCCCTAACTTGCAAACCATGGAATCCAGCAATTTTAAGATGAAGGATTACTTTGAATATTTTAATTTTTGCCCTGTTAACGCCTTCCCTTTTTTTTTTTTTTAATAGTAACATCAGGGCCAGAGCCCGGAGGTAAGTTGTGGAGTTTAGGGGCAGTCACACCCGTGGGGAGGGAGGGAGGGAGGGAGAGAGAGAGAGAGAGAGAAAGCTTGGTATGGTTAATATTACATGTTGTGTTGGAGAAAATGACAAAGACTGTCACTATTTCTTCACAAGTTTTCATTTCGCCCTCTCTTATAAATTTCTCTGAGTAAATTTCACCCCCAAAAAAAAAAATCTCTGAGTAAAATATTTGTATTGTGACATTTTTAAACAGACGGCCTAACTTACTAGATGTCAACAACGAATCCCCACATCATTTTCATGATTATTAGTTGGGGATTATTTTAAAAGCGCAGGCAGAGCCCAAAACAAGAACACCACAATTCAAGTGGAGTTAGGCGTGTGACCAAGGTTTAGATTTTAGAATAACTCTAACTAATTTAAAACTTTTTTTTGACCAACTAACTAATTTAACACTTAAACAAACATTTGGGGCACTCTTGGACATTATAAAAGGACTCTTTGATCATATTTCCATCTCCATGCGAGCCACTAATTACAGACTAAACTTATGAGAAATCGCTTCCTCTAAACAATGATGCAGACGACAAGTCAAAATGTGTGGAGATCGATTACTGAAAGAGAACAGCCAGAAACCCACGAGCGAGCTCTTCCTCTTCCCTTCGCAAAACTTGCAGAAAATTACCCTCCTGGTTTTCTTAGAAAGGTAATAGAAACGATCTATATATGTTCTATAGCATAGCCTCATCCACACCACCATTATATTAATCTCTGCTTGTCTTTGGGAAGAAGAATTTACAGGGGTGTGCATTTGTGGAACATATCACCGTTGTTTGGGTTGATGTATCTATTATATTATAACAGGTATTGGCAGAGATTATAGGAACATATCTGTTGGTGTTTGTGGGAAGTGGGGCTGCTGCCCTGAATGCATTTGATGAACAGAAAATATCAAAACTAGGAGCTTCACTTGCAGGAGGATTCATTGTGATTGTGATGATCTATGCTATCGGGCACATCTCTGGTGCTCACATGAACCCAGCAGTCTCGTTTGCCTTCGCCGCCGTGAGACATTTTCCATGGAAACAGGTCATTACTACATGTTTACTATCAATCTCTGCAATTTGAGTCTGTGATGGTAGAATTTTTCAACGTAGATGGGTTGTTTTTGGGGGGGTATGTAATATGCTCACTGGTTGAATCTAAAGCTATGTTTGGTTTGGGAGAAAGGGAGGGAACGGATGGAGAGAGTTTTTATGTTACCGGGAGAGGTTTCTAATGATATTTTATTTGGTTTAAGAGGAGAGGAAAGATAAGGCAATAACTAATTTAATATTATACCCTTAGATGTTAACTCTTTTTTTTTTTTTTTACTTCCATCTTAATATCTTATGTAGATTAATTTTCGCTAATTTTTTTATAATGGACAATCATTTGATTAAATAAGTAATAACTATATATAATTTCAATGAATGACGATGATTTCTTATTTATATCCAGAATAGTGATGGCTTTTTTTATTAATTATGTTTGATTTTCTAGTTTGTGTGGACCGTAAATTAAATTGAAATTAAGTGAAGTGAACTAGTTGGTCCTCCAGCTTCTTCATCACAAATTCCTCAAATTAGAATCGCGAACGTTGATTGATTGATTTTTTCTTGTTTAAATTGAATTATAATCAGGAGATCCATAAAACTCATGGTGGACATTGTTTAGGTTGCTCCATGGGTCCCTAAAGATAACCTACGCTTGAAGAACACTGTCGAAGGTAATAACACTGTCGGAGGTGGCGAATGATGATAGCAAGCAAAAACAAGGGTTTATTTTACAAATGACATTACTGAAATTTAAGCAAAAAAATGAGGGCAAATTAGTTCAGATATTTAGCTCAAAGAAATTTTGCCTCCCCTCATTTTTTAAATTTCTTAATCAAATGAGGGAGGGAAGCATTTTTCCTCCCCTCCCCTCTTCTCCTCTCCAAAACCCCACGCCAAACATACTCTAAACATTAGTGGTTGACAGTAGATTTGCCTCTGCCCAATCGATATGAGTTGGGGGTAACGTCGCTTCGTTTTTGTTTAGGTCCACGTCCGACCAGGATGGCCCCACTGCATGAGGCTCCATCAACGTATTGACGGCTGACCCACCAAATATTTCAAATAATAAATTAATATATTAATAATTATAAAGCGACAATCTTTTTTCCTGTGGTGTACATAGAGAGCGAAAATTTGCCACATGTTTTTATGATCATTGGAAGGGAAAGATCCAATGATGGGCCTCGAACATGGGCTTATATCTTCCACACGACCGTGCATATCCACGTTATCCTGTAATTATAAATGTGAAAATACGCCTGTTTTGTAATTCCGAAGGGGGAAAAAGCCGGTATCATTTGATACATTTTTACATTATTATTATTATTATTATTATTACGTCCCTTTTGCTCAACCGAATAGCCAAAAAATAACGATCAGTATGAATTTTTTTTAGCACACTTTTGGAATCAGTTTCACAGGTGGATTGTATTTCTTTTCTGGGGATCCAAGAACGTGTTAAATTTAGAACCAGAAGGAAAGTCAGTTGTAGTCTTTGTTCATGGAGGTTCAGGAGGTAGAGCCCCAAAAGTTTCCTGTAGAAGTTGAACTGACCGATTTTTGTTTACGGGTCTACTGTTGTAGGGTTCTAGGGCATACCCTCAAATAATGAATCACCCATTACTGTCAATGCAGGTCCCATTATACGTGGCAGCCCAATTGACAGGAGCCGTTTCTGCCTCTTTCACATTGCGGCTGATATTGAACCCAGTAACACAGCTAGGGACAACCTCGCCTTCTGGAAGTGACGTTCAAGCTCTTATCATGGAGATCGTGGCAACGTTCACTATGATGTTCGTCGCCTCCGCCGTGTCAACTGATGCAAAAGCTGTAAACTCATGCTTCTTTTAAAAAATAAAAACATTTCACATTATACCGTCACATGTTAGTCCCATCAAAAATTCACATTATTCCACCTACACTTCAATGCATTCACTTAACAGGTTGGAGAGCTCGCAGGAGTTGCAGTAGGCTCTTCCGTGTTCATTGCAGGCATCCTTGCAGGGTAAGTACAGTGGCATTGTACACACCCACACACCCACAGGCTCCCCTTAAAACAGATAGCTAAAGCTGTGAGTGGCGGTTCGCTGGTTATGCAGACCAATATCAGGGGGATCAATGAACCCAGCAAGAACCCTAGGTCCTGCCATAGCAAGCGGATCCTATAGAGGACTTTGGGTCTATCTGGTTGGACCAGTTATTGGGGCACTTTTGGGAGCATGGTCTTACATTACTATTAAAGAGACAGATGAGTCAGCTTTGGCCACTTCACTGCTATCATTCCCATTGGAGCTACGCTCAAAGAATAGGGAAACTAGGAAAGTTAAAAACAAAGACAGCCCACAAATTATGAGTGAAAATGTATAAAACCCAGCCACAGCACCCTCAATACTAGATACTAAAGGATCTCTCAATAGTATCATTCAATTCTTGAAGACATTGATCATTTAGGTACTATATACTGATGAAATACGTTCTGCATACCTTTACACCTTAGGGAGCAACACTTGTCCTAACTCAGAATACCCAGCATAATTTTCTAACGCATAACAAATCCAACTTTAATAGGTATAATTATATGTTTAATTTGAACTTGACACGACCAATAGATAAGAAACCAACTTTTCAATTACATGCAAGAGTTTACAAATCAGATGAAGCAATCTTTCATTTATGTTCCCATAGGTTCATACTATGGGAAAAAGTCAGATACAGCAGTAATATGTTACAGCAAGGAGAGCACTTATAAATAAACAACAATAATGCAATATTATGCAAAACTAGTACATGAGACAGTATAATGAAGCATCTCCTATCCAACATCATTAGTGACAAATCCATCAAGCAGCTTTTTGACATACCACAAAACTTCCTGGATTGATAGTAATGCTCTTGGTGCAATTATCAGTTTTATAAATCCCAACTAGTCGATCTGCCAGCTCAAACATATTGTTCCTGAGACTGCTCAAGGCAAAACATAACATGGTAAGTACAGTAATTATCATCAGCTGTACCAATAATCATCCTAGATAAAAGCTTAAGGTGAGCACCAAACCAACCTTATGATAATGAACTGGGCATCCTTAGTCCTATCCTTTACATAATGCCCCACAATAGATACATTCTTGAAGTCTAGCACATCAAATAACTCGTTAAATCAATTATATTGCAAATGAAGTTGCCAATGAAGAACACATTTAATCAATTTAGCAACAAGGTTAATAAAAAGTACCCAGAGCAGCATCGATTTCATCCATTACATAAAGTGGGGTAGGCTTATAATGATGAAGAGCAAAAACAAGCGCCAATGAGCTAAGAGTCTGCTAGTCAAAGAAAAATTTTAACAACATGCTCAAGAAAATATAATTTGCAATCCTTCTAATTTGAATCAAATCAGAGCTTAAGTGCCAACAAGTTTGACAACTAACCTTTTCACCACCTGATAAATTCGCAATATTCTTCCAGCTTTTCTTTGGCGGTCTAACACTGAACACAACGCCTTCAGAGAAAGGATCCAAAGAATCCACAAGTTCAAGCTCTGCATCACCTCCAAGTGTGATCATCTGCAAAAAAAACAGGGGAGGAATTACGTGCTAATTATCATAACCCTACAAGGTGTGTGCACACGATACTAAGCATGGAGAGAAAGACAGTTCAATGAAGCATAAACAAACAAGAACCCCCCAAAAAAAAAAAACACAGATCCATGGATAAAGGAGCAATGATTGGAAAATTCTGAAAAAGAAACTAAACCAGACATGAAAATGGAAGTTCTAGATCCAGAACCATATTGCCAGCAACGCAAAATCAGATTGGCATCCAAATCATGCCAACTTGTGGGAATAAGGGTCAAAGGAACTGGAATAGAATTTACAAAGTATAAAAATTTAAACTAAGGAATATGGGAAATCAAACATATCTTTTTTCCTTGTTACATAAGAAGGGTTTGAATATTTTGCATGTGCGAGTGGAAGAGTGAGAGGGAGGGAAGGAGAGAGGAGAGATTATCCAAAACCTGATACATTTCTTTCAACTTTAAAGATATGGCATTAAATCCTGCCATAAATTCATCCAATCTGAAATAACAAATTCAGCTGTTATTGTCACAAAAGGAGAGATAAAGTGAATACAAAGAACAAATAAAGAGTTTGCAGACCTTCTCTTCCTCCATTCATCATACTGTTTCTTAATATCATCACGCTCATGAGTGACTTTGTTAAGTTCCTCAACCCGGTCATTGTACAGCAATACCTTTTTACGATATCTAATAATCAAAAGCAAGTCCATCAATGCAAGTTCAGAAGGAAAGATAGTAAACGAAACAAACTTGCAAACTCATACTCTGAAATTGAATCAAGATTTGGATTCATCTCCTTCATCTGTGCTTCCAGCAAAGCAACCATTTCAAGGGCCCTTTTCAGATCACAAGCTTCATTAATATTATTTTCAGTCATTGTAGCCTGGACCTTCTCATGATCCACCAAATCAACCTGAATTCTGCAACCAATTTACAATCTCAGAAAACGTTGAGAATGTAAGACAATATATCCCATATAATTACCAAATAACATACTGTTCCAGATGCTTTTTAAGAGCTGTTTGCAATTCATCAAGTCTTTTCTTGTAACCCTTCCCCTTCATTTCCAATTCCTTGTATTCTCTCTTCATCTCTTTTAATTTAAAATCAGCATCAACCTGGGAAATTATCACTACCATCATAAATTTCACACTACCGACACCGAGTGACATGAAATCAAAAGAAAACATCCACAAGAGAAAGTACCTCAGAAGCACGCAATTCTTCTACTGTTTTCTTCACCTTATCATACTCAGACTTTGCTTCATCCAAGACTTCACTATGCTTTTCCAACATCTGTACAGCATCAGTAGTACATCAATGAACAGGAAAAGATATGTTGCATTGTTTAGTCAACATATTATCGTGTCAATACAACTTTATATGACCATAAGAAGGAAAAAGGGAAAACCTCTTGTGTTCTCTTGAAATTTTCTTGCACCACAAATGCTTTCTGTTCTATTTCTTTGAAGGTAGCTTTTGATTTCTCCTTCTCCTCACCTAGCCGTTCTTTCTCCTTTTTAGATTCCTCAATTCCTTTAGTCAACTTTTTAATCATTTTTTGTCCTGTCTCTATTTGGACTTTGTGCCGGTTAATCTCTGAATTACTCTTATCAATATCCTAGTAATTGGATGCCATTAGCACAGACAATACATCAAATTTATCTGAAGATTATTATCAAAGTAGTAAATGCTTACTGATTGAATTTTCTCGACCTTTGACTTCTGTAATTTCAATCTTTCACCCCCAGCATTTTCAATATTTCTCTGAAGCTTCAAAGCCTAAAAATAAGCAAAGTTAAGGATAGATGAGCATGAAAATAAGTAAAGTCCAGTTTTCAAGAATCAATCACACTAAAATAAAATCAAGCGCAAAACCAGATAGGCACAAGAACAAAAACAAGAAACCAACCAACCTCTTCCTTCAGCTGTTTAGACCCATCGGTAAGCTTACTAATTTCCAATTCCTCAGTAGAAATAATCTTCTTCAGCTGTTCCAATCTGTCAAGCTCATCCTTCTTTGGCTGTGAGCTAGCCTCAAGAGAAGCAAGTTGTTTTTCAATATAACTATGTTGTGAATTTAAACTGTCAACCTGTTGAGGAAAAAGTACTCAATGTGTGACATCAATCCAAATATTGTACCCTTCTCAGAATGTGAAACAAGCATTACCTCCTTCTGTGCTTTAGCCAATTCCATTTCCAAGGCTGTAACAGCTTTCTCTGAGGCCTGGTATCGCCGCCCTGCATCAAGGATCCTTTGGCGAATGGTATTTAATGAATCGACCATCTCAGACAATTCCTTCTCAGCATTTAAAACAGCTTCTACAGACACACTGCTGGCTCGAATTGATGTCCCCATTTTACCACCGCGTGGCTTACTACCTCCACCACTCATTGTTCCAGATTTTTCAAAAAGTGCACCATCTAGAGTAACAACTCGGCGAAAATCATTGTTTCTGCCATATGCAATACGTGCTGCCTTCAATTAGAGGAGGCAAAACATGTCACTTCATTTTTTCTCACTCAAAATAGAAAAAAAAAAAAAGATGAAAATATACTGTGAGACATAAGTTCCAGCTGCATACTTCAGCACGAGCATGGCATAACAACAGTAAGCCCTAGGAAATAATTATTATCTCCTTTTTTTTGAGTTGCTAATGAACTTCACGGTATAAACATGCAAGCTAATTCAGAGTAATAAAGATTGACCAAGCAACAAAATTTGCTTATCAGCCAAAAGTCTAAACCAGAGACTCATGTCAGCAAGTATGTAGAAGGAATTTTCACGGATGAAACTAGACGTTACAATTTCAAGATAGTAGTAGCAGAGAAAATCGATTAAGAAATGGATCCTGACCTGGTCGAGATCATTAGCTACAACTGTGTTGCCTAGTGCTGCAAAGAAAGCAAGTTTCATTCTCTCATCTTGAACTTTCACTAAATCGTAAAGGCGTGGAACTCCTTCTGGGGTGCTTACATTCTGTTTCAGCTTTGGAAGAAGATCAACTTGCTTCTCCTGGAGACAAAAACAATGTCCTTTACAACTATTAAAAAGAAAAAATCAAGTAAAATCAGTATATACAAAAAATTTGAACAAAGTAAATCAAAACCATTAGAACAAACTGAGATATGATTGGTCACTATGATTTTGTATTCAATCACGAGTGCACTGTGATCAATTGAAACATAAGCTTCATTTAAAAAGGTGGCCCAGCTTGCTTCCATTCCCCTACTCAGAATTAAATTGCTTCCATGAGTGGGCTTTCCTTTATAACCTTATAAATTAACCAATAGTAAGTATTACATTCTTGAAGGCAGCCTTCTGTTAGTTCAAAATTTCATTTGCCCCGTCCACAGAGCTGAGATTCAGATCATTAAATATGTCAGTTTAACATATCCATCTACGTATTGATCTTCACTCTTTTTTGGTTTTTTTTTTTTGGGGGGGTGGGGGAGGTGGATGTCGGAATCTTCACTTTGGCTTAGGGAGAAAAAAATTAAGCTACATTGAAGTTGGTTGGTCATTTATTTAAGGTATAATGAGTAGATTGAATAGCCCCTGGTCTCAAGTCTAAACTAGCAAAGGCCTGTGAATTGGAACAAAACTGTTAAAGGAACTAAATAAGGATGCATAATAAAGTCATAACCATAAATTCATCTGTTTTCCCCATAAAATCTACGATACCAGCAGAGAGCCCAGCTTAAAGAGGGGGGGAAAAAATATTATCTACACTACTCAAGATACCAAAAACCACTAAAAATACTATAGACAATACCAATATCATGAAAGTTGCAACGCCAAGATTCTCTCTTCGAAGTAGCTCAACACATGCTTGTGCTGCATTGGTCGTTTCTACCACGATATAATCAAGTCCAGGACATGCTGTTGATATAGCAACATCATATTTCGCTGCAATGATTGGTTTATGAGAAGTCAATATATTGGCATGCGTTGATCAGATGAAAGTTTGGTTACATGTTTTATCTTAAAAAAATGGAACATATTAAAATTTTTAATAGGAAAACTGAATAACAACAACAGATCTCATTTTCCTAGAGCTATTGTCATCCTATGTACTTCGCAATTTATTGACAGGACAAGCATAAGCTTGCTCTGTGTGTGTATTTTTATACATATAAAAAGGTCATGGGAAGCCATTTGACTTGTGAATTGTAACTAGCTTGTGCTAAATTCTGTGCATAGCATGGAGAATAATACTAGTCATTAAATTATTAAATTATATATGAAACAAGCAAATCATGTCCTCTTTTTTAGTGAAAGACCAAGCAAGTCTTTAATGGGATCATACCTAATAAGTAAGAACCAAACCACGAGGCCCAACAGGCTGGCCTAAGTTTAAACCATTACTCTATCACATTTATCCCAGCAGGCAAGCCCTAGAAAACTTGTGCTGATCTCAATTTAATAAAATAGGATAAATATATCCTCATCCTCATAAAATGATTACTATAACTCAGATCAGTCTTGTGAATTTAAAAAACAAGAATAGTATTTTAAAAAACCAGGAGAATGTGAATAAAAAAAGACTGAAGCTTGGGAAAACAGTTGAAAAAACTCACCATCAATAGCACCTAAATCACCCATGCGGCCATAAATTCCTTCTATTTGTTTGGTCTCCTTTGCTTTCAAGATTGCTTTTAAAACTGATCCCTGACTCTTCTCAGAATCCATAATAGACTTTAGTTCCGCAACCTTTTGTCTAGCAGCTTGTTCGAGAGGAATCAGTGCATCTTGTTCTTTGATGCATTTCTTAAAAAGACCATCCATATCACCAAATGCAAAAATATTAATGACCCAGAATTAAGAAAGGAAAAGTGTGAATCTTACAAAGCTAGAATTAAGAAAGGAAAAGCACAAACTTGTTCTTCTTGACGTGCTTCTGATGCTTCACGCTTGTTCTTTTTTATATCACTCTGTATTTGAGCAATACTCCCACTTTTTATTTTAATTGTTTCCAATATACTTTGCATCTGGTTTTTAGCATCTTCAAAAGCACCACGGGCAGCTTGATGCTGAAAGAATAAAAAATTACCTTCAATCTACTATTAAATAAGATGAATTCTGGTCAGAAAAGGTATTTGAAGGTGAAGCATACATTCGTGCCTCCTGCTTAAGTTCATCACTTACATATCAAATAGAAAAGTTATGTTTTTTAAGGAAAAACGTAGACAAGGAACTCTGATTTTTTATCAATGTCCATTGATACTTTCTTTCAAGCAAAGAGAAAACGAATTGCCATGGTAGTGAGCTTTCTCACAAGAGGTAGTTAAAAGAAAGAAAGCAGAAAAAACACCTTTTCGTTCAAAAGCTTGCTCTCTGTACATGCAACTTCTAGTTTCCCTTTGTGCTCTATCAAATCTTTCTCCCAAGGTTCTAGCTCAGCACGAATTTTGGCAAGCTCCAAGCGATATCTCTCAGTTTCAGCTGCTTGCCAATCAATAACAATAAATTTGACCAACAAAGCAAAGGAAAAAAAAAAACATGAAAAATCTAGAAACAAACACCACTACTGCATATAGCATTCCAGGTTATGCAATAACTAATAAAAAAGAGAGCAAAGACCATCCTTCACCACCCAAAAGACTGAAATGAAAAGGGAAAGATCTGATATAGGAAAGAAGCCTATTAGGAATCTCAGGAATTCTGAACAAGCAAACGAAATCAAATTTAGAGGCCACTTCTGCACAAACAAAACTCAAAGAAAATAATTTCTATCAATGGGTTGCTGGCTCATATTATATGACAAAACAATCATACGCATGCTGATATCAATGTCAGTGTCAAAATCAGCAAATTATGCCAAACCCCCTTCACAGCTATACTATAACAACATACTGATGATTCAAACTGAAAAACCAGAACAGTTCATTGCCATGATTCCATCCTCCATTAATCAAAATCAAGACACAACTATAGTATCAACAAATCTGAAACAGCACAAAGCAATGACTCTCTTATGAATAATGATCTGCTAAACAAAAAGTTTGAGAGCCCAAACCTAGAATTTTAGAGCAAAAAGGAATGTTGAGGATCAATAAAAATAATGGAAGGCATGATTAATTCAGGTGTATCACAGCTTCAACAAAGTTTGATCAAAACACAAAAGAACCTTCCAATTTCTTGAAATTGAAAACAACAGGCCTCTACCTTTGGAACTTTCTTTGATTTCCTCTAAAACCTTCTCCTCATCCAGTAATAATTTTTGCAGCCCTGGAATAGCATCCTCAAGTTTTGGTATCAAATTAGTTGATTCGTCACACTCCTTCACTAGGCCTTCAATTTTTGATGAATCCTGAAATAAAAAACAAATGAATAAGCTGCACCGTTCGTGGATACTATCGGGTGCAGTAAACTACACCTTCTTCTTACCTTTTCAACTTTATCAGCCAGTTTCTTGATCTTTTGATTCAAGTGCTTAAAATCTTCCCGATACTTAACATCCTGTCTCTCAAACTCCTTGAACTCTTCCTTACACTTCCTCATATCATTATCCAGCTCCTGCTCAACAAAATGAAAGAAAAATTGACCAAAAGATATCCTGCATGCTTGATCATAAGTGCATACATTAAAAAATATAAATATGGGCACATCATGTCGAGCAAATTGATATCAATTATATCCATTTCATTCAAACCTCTTGTCGTTTCATATAGTTGTTGTGCTTATCTTCAAGCTCTTTCAAAGTTTGCTTACTTTCTTGAATTTTGCCCCTGGCATCACACATCAAATTCTTAATGAAGAAAACATATTTTCAGCTACATATGCACAAAACACAAGTTAGTTACCGGTCAAAAACTAAATTCACCTTTCATTCTTGAGATTTTCTTCAAGGCTAGAAATATTTCCTTGTAGCCCCTCTATTTTTCCAGAGCTATCTTCATAAGCCAACTGTGTGGCCTTCTCTTGCCATTTTAGAAGAGACAACTCTTTCAGCATGTATGCTTCTGCTTCATTCTTCACATCCTGTCCCAAGAAAAACCTTTAAATGTTGTTCTGACATCAAACAACAAATGAACGTGGCCGCTTTATATTCATACCTCCAAGCTATCTCTTTCTTTCTCAGCTAGCTTAACCATTTGTACCACTCCTGATCTTCTTTCATTTAGAAGCTCTAACCTAAAATATCAACAATATCATTGCAGGCATTAGAAATCCTGAGTTGGAAGCTAAAATATAATTAATCACTGTATCAACATAGAAAATAATAATAAATCATTCCCACGAAAAGATAAACAATAGGAAGGTTGCATGAAAATTAATTTGTATGAAACTCCAGAAAATCCAATTATACAAAAGCAGCCACATGTAAGCGTAAATTTTTGTGATGATTAAGAAGGTCACATGTTCTCAATTATTGTTCATTGAAATAGAACAAGAGTCCTCACTGTTTATATGATTCATCAATCATCTCAACATATTTGTTGGTTCCGATGATGTCTTCAAGATATTCTAGAAATCCCTCATCATGCGGTCCTTGAGCTTTTGGTTTCATAAGTGAAATTTGCTCAACTTCACCCTGAAAACAAGAAGATCAACTTCCTGAGAGATGGATAGAAGCATCTCTAAAAAATTAAACTGCTATGTAACAAATTCCTGACCTGGAGGATCAAAAACCTGTTATTGTCAAGGTCAACACCTTTGCCCTTGAGTTTCTTGGTAACTTCAGTGAAATTACTGACGCGATCATTAATGTAATATTTTGATGAGTTATCGCGGAAAGCCACCCTAGTGATTGTAAAATCACTTCCTTTAACAGCCTCATATGTTTCCCCATCCTGGATGGTGCAATAATTTAGTCGTTGGATTACGTCAGCTGTGCCTCATCATTTATTTTTTAGTGTAATAAATAGGAGGAGAATATTGGGGGAGAAAAATCAGAATCATGATAAAAATATGCACCAAATCAACGATTTCTTGAAAATGAACAGAAACCCCTGCGCTATCCAGGTTCTGGTAATTTGTAGAATTGTGGATAAGCTCCGAAACTTTATTCAGTCGCATCTGCAAATATAGAGTTCACAGATGACGGAGTGAAATAACAGAAAATAACGGGAAAAAAAAAATTATAAACGATTGAACGCTTCATTGATTTCTACCGTTATAGGAAAAAGTTAAAGCACAACGATGATGATAAGGTCACAGATACACACCTGCTTGGCTCGCTTACCGAACACGAATAGCATGGCATCGATCACATTGCTTTTTCCACTCCCATTGGGTCCAACCACAGCCGAAAAGCTCTGAAGCCCAGGATGGGTGGGAAAAAGAGTTAAAATTGTAGAAGTGGAAACAGAACCTTTTTTATGCTCATATGATTTGCGAGAAACCACATTGAAAGCCCCATAAGGATGCCTCTTTAGCTTCCTAAAGATGCAAAATTTTGACGGAGACTAGACAACGTGACCTGATACGTAGCTAAATGGAGTGTTATTATACTTATGATCAAGTTCATCGCCGTGAAACTGCGGCCACCGAGCGAAATTTCCATTTACACGGAAACAATTGAAGAAACGAATGAAAACCCTAGGTGTTTGGTTAAACATGAAAGAGACGAGAAGAGATGCAAAACCTTGTGGAACGGGCCAACTCGTTGCTCGCCGGCATAAGATTTGAAGTTTTTCATAACCATTTCTTTGATGAAGAGCCTGGGTCGTCTGGATCCTCCAGGGACTGAGTCAGAGCCATCAGCCATCACCTCTTCTTGCGGTTCCATTTCCAATTCCAAGTCAACTCAGAACCCTGAAGCCTTCAATGCACTCCGCAGAATTCGAAATTGAATTTTACCGGAAGGAAGAAAATAATCTCACCGTTTCTTCGGAAATTTCTGTGAGGACGAGGTTTTTTTGGTCATTCGATGGATAGCGGGAGTGTTTTAGCGGGAACACAATGATGTCGACTTTTAAATTTTCAGTAAATGGACCTAGAGGCCCAAAGTAGTTTATACTCGGCCCTGTGCAATGTACTGGGCCGAGTTAGCACAATAGGGCGAGGCCACGGACAATATGTCGGCCGTCTGGCACTGTTTCAACCCGATTTGTGGATTTTATTCTGATTTTTAAATTTTTTTTAATATCATCATTGAGACTTTTTAAGATTTCAATATTTTAATAAAACAGATATGGACTATATGATATGTTACCTAAAAATCAATAAATATAGAAAAATAGATAAAAAATACATTAGAGCTATTAATTAAAAAAATGTTTTAATTAAGAAGGGATGGAAAATATATAAAAGGCAAGATTTATATATTTAGCCTTATATATTTAATATATTTTATAATAAAATCAAGATATGTGTAATATAATGTATTAATAATATTAATAACAAGAATTTATTATAAAATAAATAATTTATAAAAAATACACATATTTTGATTTAATTAAAAATAAACACTTTAAATATATAAAATTAAGTATATAATTTTTTTCATATATAAAGTAGAGGTGCTGGACTGTACTGTAAAGCCTGCTGAAAATTGATTTTTTTCATATAATATCAATGTCATATAAACTGTGAAAAATCTATAGAAACTTGCGTTGTGCCAAACAGTACAGCCCATGATTCTTATTGCATGTGAATGCATTATTGTGTCAATTTTATAATTTTATTATTTCAAGAATCGGTATTCTATAAAACATGTTCTGAAAATAAAAAAATTAAAAAAAAACTTTTTGTATGATTATTCTAAAAATTATATCTAAAAACAAAAAATATATATGTAAAAACTTTGTTTGATTAATTGTTCTTCGAACATGTTTTGAGAACACCAAACAAAAAAAACTTGTTCAATTAACTTGTTTTTATAATTAATATTAGCGTGATTTTTATATTTATTTAATACTATATTATTACTATAAATGAATTTAAAATAAAATTTGAATATAGTCTTTTACCCAAAAAAAAATTGAAGTACAATCATCCACTTAAACACCATCAAGTGCAATCAAGCCTAAGCACAAAGTCTTGCTCTCAGTTCGTTTGCCACAGCATCGATGAATTCCTGTGTTCAGATATTGCTCCCTTAAAACCCTAGCTACTTGCAAAAATGAGTCCGCACAGCGTTGTTGTCAGTAATGTCAAGCATAAGTGTAAATATGCATAACACATTTGTCATGTTATGGTAATATTATTATAAGTAACTCACTTGGATTCATAGTGATGCCAAATCCTTGGTCATCGTCCCTGACTCTATAGCTCCAATGCAAGCTGCCTCCAGTTTTTCAACGAAATCCAACAGTCTAGCATTGTCATCCAACTTTGCCCTGTAACAAAGAGATGCACCAGAGTTTCTTGATATACCAGACATTATTTTGCAGCTCAATAGAGTGGAAATTAAAATTATTCACACTCTACAAATCGCAGTATTATACTATATACCTGTGGGCTTGGTCCTCTTGTCCGAACGAAGATGGATGCTATGCTATTTGTGCCTTGGCTAAACATCTCCTTAGTCTCCTTGCATAGTGAAAAATGTTGTTTAGGTGCTAAGTATCAAGTAGAAGGATCTATGGCTAGAGAGTTTCTCATGCAGCTTAAACTTAACCTAGTAACATGTTCTTATTTTTGAAATCTATGTTCTTCTATATGTTATAAATTTTGTTGAGCTTACCAATTTTTTTTGTTTTCATTTTAGAGAGCATATACACCCAAGATCACAAGTGCCATGAGGGCATAAAACCAAAGTGGTAGAACTCTAAAACACTTAATAAAGGTTTATTCTCAAGAATAGAAGGATTCCTCTTCAATTTCAATATAAAAATATGATATCTACTCAACAAAGAGAAGGCAAAAGTTTCATGTAGAAATTATTTCAATTCTTGTTTGGAAGAATTGCTCTGTAAATCATACAATTTGCTTCTTACTCTATAGTAGTGAGTGTTTAGCTAATGAAATGAGAAATTAAATAACATATTTCCCCAAGTAGAAAAGAGATGTGAGGTCACAAGGTACAATGATTTCTTTAGGAGCATTACCAATCCTAAACTTAGCCTCATTTAACACAACCAGCAGTTAGAATAATTGACTTGTCCTCAGCAAATATTTTTATGCATTTATTGCACTCTATGCAATATAATACAATAAATCAATCAATAGACATATCACATAAAGGATTGTCCCTGAATCCAGTAATTTGAACCTTCTGTTAGCTTGGTCTTCTCCGAGTCCTATTCTCATTGACTTAATTTATTCTAGCAACATCTAAACTGCAAGAAATGATATTTTAGGAGAGAGATTTAGAAATCATGGTCATATTTCATATTAACTTGAGTATTTGAAATTTCTAAATTTTTAATTAACTTGAGTATTTGAAATTTCAATGATTTTAGTTAGTAAGTGTAGTACTTTGATTTATATATGAATAATTTATTTTTCTTCAACCATGACAAAATAAAACATATGAATAATTTGTTTTTCTTCAAGAATGCATTATAGCATAAAATAATTTCAATTCATCTCTTTTTATGGTTATGATTAAGATTTACATATTTGTTAAATTTATTATATTGAATTATTATCTCATCAATTAAGTTTTAATTGTTTGAGTTTATTATTTTTATCTTTTAAATTTTATTTTTAGCGATGCTATTCACTAAAAAATGTCTTCATATCAGATTTATTAGTTAACACTGAGCTTCTTGTTGATTATTGAGGAGTTTATCACTAATCAGAAGTGGAGGAGTTATAGGCTAAGCTACCTTTTAATGTAAACTTTGATTATAAGAAAATAGTACTATTTTATAAATTAAATTTCAGGCGCTCTACACAGGCTATAACTAAGGCCTTTATTTTGTTATATATTTTGTTTGCTGGCTAGAAGGAACTAAACTTCTGATAGATTTAAATATTTTTGCTTAAAATATTATATTATAAAATTTTGAAGATTATATTTATAAAGGAGGTTCTGCCGAAATTCATATAAAAATATTGAAGTTTTAATTAATAAGAAAATGGTCATGTATGTTATAAATCAATATAAACATAATTATGTTTTAGTAATAGAAAGATTTTTTGATTTAAAGTTTAAGGAATGTATGATGTTGTTTCCATCTTGTATTAGTTACTTTTATTTTTAGGTATGACATCAATATGTAGTGATTTTTAATTGTTATATACTCGTAAAAATAACCATTATATAGATCTTTTTTTAACAGTACAAGCATAACATAAATCTATCTATAAAATTTAGAAGCCATGGAAAAGTTAATCTATATAGGACTTAAATCTTCTGATAAAGGCATTCAGAGAGTTGATAAATGAAAGCAAGAGAGAGAAAGTATCGAGTGAAATGAATGAAGTTGAATTGCATATGAGAGAGTACAGACAATATATATATATATATATATATAGAAAACATAGTCACATACTCAGTGCCAATACTTAATTAGTTTGATTGTAACTAATTTGTAATAGACTACTTGATTAAATTATCACCTGAATTTAAAATGGTGAATTTACGTGAGGTTTTCAGGAGAGATAAACTTCTATATTTTATAAGAAATAATAAAGTGAATAAAAAAATTTTAAAACAATTATCGAATTCACTAATTTCAATCAGATGATTTGAATCCAATCTTTATTACTTGTATATTGCTTTGGGAGGGAATTTAGCAAAACCAAACAAGATGGGGTGACGGATGGTGGTCGGTGGAGAAAAACACAAGATTGAGTAATGACTTCACACGACCTGGGCAATGGACAAATCAGACTCAGAGGACGCGCAGGCTCTGCCCTGGAAGGGAGCAAAGCAAGTTTCAGAGAGAAAGAGGAGAGATTGGACCAACCAGCGAGCAGCTGCCCAGGAAGTGAGCTTTGGAGATTGAAGCCACTCTACGGCTCCCTAAACTGCCAACTACTACCTGCATGTGTCGTTCCCTTTAAATATTTCTCCCACCTTTTTACAGTTCCCATTCTCCCCTCCAGCATTTTTTACTTTCACTTGCCTGCACTTTCATTTTTTTTTTCAATAAATTTCAATTAAATGAAAGTCACTCTTGTCATCAAAAACTCGTCTCACCCCCGTGATAAGTATACCCTGTATATTATTCACGAGAGGCAAAAATAGAAAGGGGTAATAGGGTTCTGCCCCTAAAAATAAAGACGAGTCTTCATTGAGTTTTCCCAGCCCTCCTATTCGTATGGGCAAAGACCCCTCCGAGGATATTTTTTTTATCATAAGTAAAATTTCAAATTAAATTGCCCGTAGATTCAATTTTATTACACTTTACTATAATTAACCAAAGAATAAAATGCAATGAAATCTAATAACATCAAAGTATCTACATATCTCGAACAAATCTATTTAAGAATATATTTGGTTGGAGGGGAGCCATCGAGAAAAAACATTGATAATGTCATGTCCTAACTTCTTCCCACAAGGATGGCAAATTTTTATTTTTATATGTTTTAACATCTGCAAAATGCAATTTTGTTGCTGTACTGTTCACTGACACGTAATTAAGATTTATTAATTTGTTGTGTTATTGTTGCTAAAAGTTAGCAACTTCTTGTATTTTTTTTATGATGAGGTAGATTATGACAATAATGTTCGTTAGAAAAATAATCGAGGGTACTGACCGGTATATTGTTTTTTGGTTAAAATTTACTATTTTGACATACAAAATCACGTGCTTTGTATCATGAATTTTGCCTTTATACGAGTCTAATACTTTAATTAGTTGCAATAAATTCAGCTAAGAAAAGCTCAATCCACAAGTACTGTGTTTGTTTAATACTATTGGCTATATTGCACAGCACATGATATTAACTATATTCAAAATCAACATGCGTACACACGCATAATGCGCAGCACATATATTATATCTCTTGTTTATTTTTTAAGTTGTGAAC